AGACACGCTAGAATTGCCGGTGAAAGAGAAAAATAAACACAATAAACATACCCAATGAGCGACGCACAGACGGAACAGAGGTAGAGACGGAGGCAGAACGCTAATAGCATGTCTACCTGGCAAGCATTATTAAGAAACCCGCTCCCCCTGCAAGGCAGGCATTCCTCCCAATATTTCACGATTCTCTATCATTCAACATGCTATCCTGTCACTATAAGTCTATGTGAGCGCCACCCCGGGCCAGCCTAATTATCCATACAATCCAATATTCTTCTGTTCCCGACACAGCAATTAGGGGACATCGTGGGGGAGAACACGAGCAGATGTGGCCCACTCTGTCTATGTCCATCTCAGAATGTTAGAATATTGGTTGATGGTGAAGAAGCGACCTTAGCCTATTTGCAAAAAATTTAAATTTCTAAAAAAAAAAAAAAAGCAGTGCAGTAATGTAGAACTTATATAATTGATAATTTTATTGCCTCATTAGCCACTCTTCATGAACAATTACTAAGTCTTTTTAAGGCCTAAACAATTTTGGGAGGAAACCACAGTAAACTATCCATTAATGTGTTATTTAAAGTGGTTTCATTCGTCAACTTCCCATTCCTCTATTGGGACTATTTCTACAGCTAGACTGACAAACCTGGGCTCCATCTAAAAGTTTCTAAAGAACACTCTGATTCTTCACTGGTTTAGGGGGAAACTGACCCCAAAAAACATGCAGGTCCTTGTTGACTTAACTAAATTTCAACAGCAAGTTGCACGAGCAAAACTTTCTCTCTACATAAATGCTATTCTCTAACAAGACCTAGACAAAGGATTTATTAGCTCTTGTATGAGCAGATCTGACTAATGCATAATGTTTATATTGCAAATTCTTTTGAGGGCTACCGAGAGCATATATTAGCGCCAATGCTTAATGGGTCAAAAGACCGACTTAACTCATGAGCAGCTGTCCACCCCATGCATACATGGAAATTCCCTTTGATTTGTGGCTTTTAATCACGGCTTCAAAACCGGTCATTATTTATGACTTGACTTTTACTGGACGGTTAACGGGAACATTTATCAAGGCTACCTGACAGGAAAGAACTCTGCAGCTCAAAGAGCTGCAGTCATCTCTGACATTACATCTCCATTTGCCGACTCACCAGGTTGGGGATGGAGTTATGGGGAGAGTGCCAGGTATGCTGAGCATAATATTACTGAATGGAAAGATACTACTTAAATATGCAGTGACTCCTCCAGTCAGATGTGAGGCCGATTCAAAAGGAAACAGGTTGTAAGACAAAAAACCCACAACCTTTGGGGTTTGTGTAGGCAGCTGGTCTCGGTTATTATTCTTACCGTTCAAAATATTTGAAATTGTCAAGCAATGCCGACCGCAGTCACTTCTCTACTGACCACCTGGCTAAGCTGCCAGGAAGGCCGCCTCCTCTTCTTCTAGGAAAGAAGCACACTCGTCTATGGATGCACCAAGCTCTATTCTGGTCTCATACGCATCCAACTCTGGCTACAAGTTTTCAATTTTCTGCTCTTGTCGCCTTTTCACCAGGGAGCCTGGGCTGGTCTTCAGTCAGCAGAACAGGGACTTGGGGTGGTGGAATCTGCCCCAGGATGGGTGTGTAGAGGTTGTGTTTAAAAGCTGTTTTAAAAAAGTTGGCATGGGGTTTCTGGGTGGCTTAGGCTCTGTTGTCCTGACTTCTCAGCCAGGTCACGATCTCATGGTCCTGGGAGTTCCAGCCCCGCTACCGGGTTTCCTGGGCTGATGGCCCGGAGCCTGGAGCCTGTTTCCCATTCTGTGTCTCCCCTCTCTGCCCCTCCCCCGCTGCTCTGTCTCCTTCTCTCTCTGTCCCAAGGATGTTGAAAAAATTAAATGCAAAGGACAGACAGGAGGCTTGCAGGAACATTTACAAGAGGTACAGCCCCCAAAAAGCACTCTGCATTTAAAAAAAAAAAAAAAAAAAGTCAGTATGGGGCTTCTGGGTGGCGAGTCGGGTTAAGCCAGTCCTCACTCAGCCAGGGCCACGATTCAGGGGTGTCCCGGGAGTTCGAGCCCCGCCGTTTCATTGAGGGTTCGAGCCTGGAGCCTGTTTCCGATTCTGTGTTCTCCCCTCTCTCTCTCTGCCTCCCTCCGCTCATGCTCTGTCTCTCTCTGTCCCAAAATAAATAAACTTGAAAAAAAAAAAAAAAAATTCGAAAAAAGCTGCATGTCATTCTTCCCTTTCAAGACCTTCTCCTCAGTCCCTGGTTATACTCTCCCTTGCACCTTGATTCTAAAAATCAGTGCCTTAGAAAAGCATAACACTATATGGAAAAGTGTATAAATAGCTAGCCACCCAATTTTAGCGATTTTCATAAACTGAACACACTGGGGTGACCAGCACTGCTCAACAATTTTACCAGCACTCCAAAAGCCCCTCGCCCCTTCCCACTTTCTCTCCTCCTACCCCAAGGATGACCACTCCTGCTTTCAAACAGCCCGGATGCTAGCTTTTGTTGTTCTTTTAGTTCAGATAAATAAACAGGTAGTATGTACCTTTTTTGTGTCTGGTCGATCACTATTACAGTGTTTCATGTAAGTTTCACCCAATATTATTAGGTAGACTCCTCAGATCATTCACTATTATAGCTACATAGTTTTCCCTCTTGTAATGAATTGAACCACAATTCATAATCCATGATGGATTGTATTCATGATGGATGTGGGTGGGTTCCAGTTTCTGACTATTGAGAATAGTGCTACTATTTTACAGAAACAGATAAAGGAGATTGAGCACACTTATTGTGGGGCACCTGAGGGGCTCAGTCAATAAAGCATCTGACTGCCTCAGGTCAGCGATCTCACGTAAGCCGCGGAGTTCGAAGCCCCGGTCAGGGGTTTGTGCTGACAGCTCAGAGCCTGGAGCCTGCTTCGATTCTGTGTCTCCCCTCTCTGCCCCCTCCCCCGCCATGCTCGCTTCTCTCTCTCTCTCAAAACTAAACATAAAAAAAATTTAGTAAGAGCACACTTACCATGATGAGCAGTGAGTAATGTATAGAATTGTTGATCGTTATAGTGCACAACTAACATAACACTATGTTAATTACACTTCCATAAAAAATTTAAAAATAAAAAATAAAAACAATAAATTATATATATATAATACATATGCAGTGTGAGAGAAAAAATTATCAGTTCTAGAATTACTAAGAAAATTTTTCCAGAGTAAATAATACAATGTCAGGTAACAGTACATAGGCAATAAATTATTATTACATGACTTTTTTTCCCCTAACCTATTCAATATATCTAAAGTGTTAATCTATGGATAAAGTTAACAAGGCTCTGAAACCACAAAGAGTGCTTAAGATTTAAGACAAAAGAAAGAATAGTGCTACTATGACCAAGTCTTTTTGAGAAGAATATGTTCACATCTTAAAGTAGAATTGTTGGGCCATTCAAA